AATTTTGGGAATGATGAGGGCAACAAATGTATAGGTGTGATTTACACAATTGATCTATGTATTGTGATGAATTGTATGAGCCCCAATAAAACGATTTAAAAAAAAGAGTAGTACATTTCCTCCTGAGAGCGCCCTGCTGATGTCAGATAGAAATCACAGGACACATTACATTGGACAGATCTGCTGCAGGTGACCTCTTCAAAGCATTAAAAAGCAAAGTTGTCACTTTGGGGACTAGGGTGTGCCTGACCCAAGTCATGGTCTATACAGTCACTTCATATGCATGTGAAAGCCAGGCTATGACTAAGGATGGAAGAACTGATGTATGTGAACTATGACATTGGTGAAGAATCTTGAATATACTGTCACCTGCCAGAACAATGAATGGGTCCCTCTTGGAAGAAGTACAAGCAGATGCATCCTTGGTAAGCTGGCACATTTTGGACTTGTGTTAGGAAGGCGCATCCTTGGAGAAAGACATCGCACTTGGCAAAGTAGAAGGTCAGTGAAACAGAGGAGACTCCATGAGACAGGCTGACCCAGCGGCTGCAGCCAGGGGCTGACTCCGTCAGACTGGGGAGAACCACGTGGACCGGGCAGTATTGTTTTCTGGTACACGCAGGGCTGCTCTGAGTCGAGCGGCCTGGACGACACATAACAACACGTTTTCCACACAAATATATGCCTGATTTTCAGACACACATTTTAAAGTTGGACACATACTTTAAAGCCTCAATAATGGATACTTTCTTAGGCAAGAGTTCGCCATAGTTGTCAAGAGTCTTTCTCCATCATTTGCCATAGTCTTTTGTCAGAAGTCAGAAACCACTGCGTGAGCATCCTAGGCTTATCTTCACCTCTGAAATCCTTTGACTAATCACATGTGGGAGTGCATTCTTGTGCACTTAAGCATCTGGAATCATCTTGCTTATTACTCTGGTTTATAGCTGTAAGTTCAACATCTAAGACAGCAATTTATATTGAAAATAATATATTTTTTTAAAATATCACAATGCTTTGTACTTATAAGTTGGCAATGATTTTGCTCACATCTATATTGTTTTCTAGGAACTTCAGGGCCCTGGATACACTTCAAATTCTTCTTTAAAACCACGTCTCCTACACTCGTCCTCTGCTGTCCGTTCCCACTCTAACGTCCCATCTTCCCAGTCTTCAGGCAGCTTCCTGTCACATGTAAGTCACAAGTCTTGCAATCCACAGAGGCAGTGCTGTAATGTATGAATAATGACATCTACAACACGTGAGTACTTTTACATTCGGGAGAATTTCACTAAGAAGTAATGCACTTTCAAAGAGTGGATTTTAGATTTACACATTTCACTATATATTTAAACATTTCCCTGTAAATCCAACATAGATCAGATGAATGGAAAGGCTTTCTTTACTATTTGTTGTTTTATCTGGGGAAAACAAACAGGTGTCTATTCAATGTGAATAAAGTCAGCAATAGTTATAATTATTAAAGTAAATTTTTTACTAGCCCTGTAATCAATTCTTTGGGGTTTTTTCCCCCCATCCCAACAACATCAGAATTACAAAATGAATGCTGAGATGGCTAAAATTTAATGCTCTAGCAAGATAAAAATAAATTGTTGGATATTATTTTTTGTGAACTCTGTGTGACATTACAACATAAAAATTTTATTAATCATAAATCATCTTTTTTTGCCTTTAGTTCAAATACTAACAACTTTAGAACATTTTTAGAACTTTCACACTTGTAAAGCTCAGGAAAAATATGCATGTTATTTCAAATAGAGGCTTTAGCTCTTCTGAAGATAGCCATTAATCCAATAATCAACCAATAATTAATCCAATAATCAACCAATGTCCCAGCTCTAAAGAAATAATAAGACTTATTCCATAAATCATACTTTAAAATCAGCTCCATTAGTTAAAAGTCTGATAACTTGCATGATCAATAGTAGCCTGGTAGTAATTCCCTCACACCAATTACATGACATTTATAGAAATCAGACAGAGAGCTGAAATGGACTACTCCCACCACACACATCCTAGTTTAATGCTTATGAAACTAAGTGTAAAATTGTTTTTCTGGTGGTCATCTCTTTCTAATCGCTGTGTCCTTGCCATTATGGAGCAGAAAACCAACTTGTACACAGGAGTTGCTCAAAAGTTGTTTATTTATAAACAAAAAGTTGTTTATTTATTAAAAAAAAAGTTCACTGTGTGGAATTGTTTTCTGCTCTTAAACATTCATATCTTGAGTTTGAATCTGTTATTTTTGCTTCTCTTCATTACTTTTTAAATCCCCTACTATTTTTAAATAGTTAATACTTACTGTATATACTCAAGTATAAGTTGACCTAAATACCAGTCGAGGCACCTAATTTTACCACAAATTTTACCAAATTTTACCACCTAATTTTACCACAAAAACTGCTTTAAAAATGTGCTGAAAAAAACTCCGCTTAACACCTTTCTAACACAATCGCTGAAGACAAATGTGTGCATAAACAAATGTGGTGAAGAAAGCTGATGGTGCCTGGCTATCAAAAGATATAGCGTCTGGGGTCTTAAAGGCTTGAAGATAAACAAGCAGCCATCTAGCTGAGAAGCAACAAAGCCCACATGAAGCACACCAACCTGTGTGTGTACATGAGGTGTAGAAGGGACCAGGTATCAAGCATCAAAGAACAAAAATATCATATCAGTGGGTGCCCACCTTCCCGATATGATCACTGAAGACAAATGTGTGCATAAGCAAATGTGAAGAAAGCTAATGGTGCCCAGCTATCAAAAGATATAGTGTCTGGGGTCTTAAAGGCTTAAATATAAACAAGCAGCCATATAGCTCAGAAGCAACAAAGCCCACATAGAAGAACCACACTAGCCTGTGTGACCACGAGGTGTTGAAGGGATCAGGTATCAGGCATCATCAGAACAAAAGATCATATCATTGTAATTGAGGGTGAGTTCAGAGTGGAGACCCAAGGCCCATCTGTAGGCAACTGGACACCCCTTAGGAGAAGGGTTGCGGGGAAGGAGATGAGCCAGTCAGGGTGCAGGGTTTCAATGATGAAACATACAACTTTCCTCTAGTTCTTAAATGCTTCCTCCCCCCACTATCATGATCCCAATTCTACCTACAAATCTGGCTAGACCAGAGGATTTACACTGGTACAGATAGGAACTGGAAACACAGGGAATCCAGGACAGATGATCCCTTGGGGACCAGTGATGAGAGTGATGATACTTGGAGGGTGGAGGGGAAGGTAGGGTAGAAAGGGGGATCCGCTTACAAGGATCTACATATAATCTCCTCCCTGGGGTGAAGGGAGACGTCAGACAGTGTAAAATATGACAAAATAATAATTTGTAAATCATCAAGGGTTCATGAGGAAGCGGAGAGCAGGGAGGGAGGGGGGAAATGAGCTGATATCAAGGGCTCAAGTAGAAAGAAAATGTTTTGAGAATGATGATGGCAGCAGATGTTCAGATGTGGTAAGAATTATACGAGCCCCCAACAAAATGATTTTTTAAAAACTCTGCTTATACACGGGGTAAGTCAGTAAAGATTCTTTTTTTTTTTTTTTTTTTTAGGGAGTTCAGCTTTTTTAAAATTGAATGTGTTACAAGCATTTGCTCCCCTGTTTCACACAAGTTAAAGTGTAAAAGGGGGAGAAAAAGAATGAATCAGATATCCTGGCCTTCAGGAGTATATGAGGCCCCTGTTTCTGAGCCTTTCTGGAATACTCCAATGCAGAGAAACTTGCTTCTTGCTGGCCACCTTCGTTGGAGTTACTTTGAGTCTCAGTTTTCTGTGTTCTGCTAAGTCAGTAATGAATTAACCATTTTCTTCCATCTTTCAAAATGTTGATATCATTGCTCATTAATGGCCTTTCATCTTTCTTCTTTAACTTTATTAGTTTTTTAATATTATCATCGTGAGGTCTCAGATAGAGCAGAAATACAAGCCAGGTTTCATATTTGGAAGTAAAATAGTAATGTCTATGCATTGTCCTACATTGCTCCTTCATTTTGCCTTTTAATTCATATTCATGATTTGGAGAAATTAAGTGACTTAAAAAGAGTTCAGACAACCAAAACAGTTGAGCCAAGACTAACCACTAGGCCCGCAAACAGCTCAGAAGGCAGACAGGGACAGAAAGTAAAGGAGATTGGAAGCGGGGAATTCAGAGAGGATGTGGGAAGAGTGCATTATTCATTGAGAGGATTGCAACCAATGTCAAGAAACAATGTGCATAAATTGTTGAATGGAAAACTAATCTGCTCTTTAAAATTTCACACAAGTTACAATAAACTGTAAAAGGGGGAAAAAAGAATTAATCGGTTATCTTGTGGTTTTAACCATTTATAATGGTACTGACTCTCTACCCGATACTGCTGACATGATTTTTATATAACATAACTGTAATAATTATAATACTATAACATAATTTTAATCTGTTTACTGTAGTAAACAGATTCTCAGCCTGAATGAATAATAATTTCTTTCTTTCTTTGTGATTAAAGATCATACAATTGTAAAGCTTCAGAGCTTGATTATCCACTTGATTCCTTCTATGTTATAGATGAGAAAATAAATTGGCACAAGCTCAATCACCAACATGAATATGTATATGTACATATACATATTTATTACCACTACAGTAGAACCCTGGACGACCACGCTATCCATTCTGGAAGGAGCATAGAGATGCAATGCAGTTGAGTTCCGAATCCATTTTTCCCATAAGAAATAACTGAAAATGGATTAAGCCGTTCTTGCCTTTTTTATACAAAACAGTACACAGAAGTTTCAAAGTAAATAAGTTCATAGTTAAATAATATAATTTAAATAAGAAACACAACATTTAACATTTTTAACAACTACAGTATAGCCATCTCTTGAGACTGAGGAGGATCTGGATCTGTGACCCGGATGGGGAGAGGAGGTGTGGAGAGAGAGAGAGAGAGGCATTGGTGGGAAGGGGAATCCCCTTCCATACAATCAACTGGTAGCTGCTCTTCAGGAGGTTTTCTTTTTTCCTCTTCTTTGCCTTTTTTCACTAGGACCTGGCTGACTTTCTCTAAAAGAAAATTAGTTTAATGTGGTCTGCTGTTGCCGTTTCCTTAACTGTTTTCTAAAAGGGTTTGCTAAAGTCTCATCAATAATATCGATAACAGTTAACCAGTTCCTTATAATGATGATTTTTTTCAAAAAACTTTCTTAGGACCCATGTTTTTTATCTAAAACCAGTACAAAAAGCTACAAAAACTAAGAAAATTATAGCAAAGAGCTTGAACACAGCCGCAAAAGATTTAAACAACACATACTAACAACGCCAATTAACTGCTGAGTGACTGAAACACGAACTGCCTTTGTTTACAAAAATCACGTGCCTTGGGTCAGATTCCGATGTTTTGTTCAAGCTCCGATGAAAAATGTTCTCGATATTTTGCATCGAAATTTGATTATGTCGAATACTGCTGCGGGCGAGTCCCGGGGTTGTACTGTAGTTCTGAACCATATGTTACCTCTTGGCTTGGTGGAATGTTGACCAGTTCGTTTTAGGACAGTGACCATGTTCTCCTCATCTTCTTTAGGTGCTTTCTGTATCCGTCAGTAGTTTGCCAGCAGAGTCTTTCAGTATTGCAACTCAGAGCTTGAATTTTTTTCTTTAGTTCTTTCAGATTGAGATCTGCGGAATGTGTTCATTTTGGCTTGTCTAGCTCTAGCTGCTTGCAAATTTCGTGAGGATGGAAGACCACTGTCTTTTGAAGCTGCTCTTGGAGGTTTTCGGTTCAGCTCTCCGGTGTCATCATTCCTACTCCAGTTTTTCTGTCTCCCACACACACAATTTTGAGCATATTATCTTAAGCTCTCTTTGTCTCCATTTTACCATCTCTAAAATGGAGATAATAATCCCTATCTTACTGAGTTGTTTGGGAGATGAAACTGGATGATAAGCATTAGATAATGTATTCATTATCCTAACAATCTGAATGATGAGTCAGATCTGTAAAGAGAAAGCTGAGGGATAAATGTAATTTTTTTTAATAAATGTAATTTTTTTAGTTGGCTTTTAAAAAATTGTTTTATTAGGGCTCATACAACTCTTATCACAATCCATACATACATCAATTGTGTAACATGCATTTGTGCATTCATTGCCCTCGTCATTCTCAAAACATTTGCTCTCCACCTA